ACAAATAGTATTTAGAATAAATATATTATTTGTTGAACAAAAGAAACACATTTTATGAGCTTGACTTTAAATTATTTATGTATCAGAATTTCTTTATAATAATTAAATACATTCCCCTAGCTGTCTCTCATTTATATTTACATCATTTTAAAAGTGATTGAAATCTTTAACCCTTTTTATTTGTCATAACTTCTACTTGTTAAGCTTATGTCCTTTGTAAAGGAATTTATCTACACCACCAGCTTAAGCACACATTGAAAGCTTAATATCGGCATCAAGCCAAGCAGCTTGACTCAAATCGACATCCTAGAATGCTGCTGCATTCAATAAATGCAAACAAGAGTCGTGCCAGACAAACACCATCAGAAATGTGTATTTATCGATGACCCCGGCTTAATCTTTGGCACATTTCTCTTCATGAATTGAATAGCCATTCAGCCATGGTCTTCCCCTCCATTCACACTTGCTGCCGCTTATAATTGTTTCGCAGCTGCAATCGATAACAATTTAAATCCATTGCTGCCAATAAACAATTATTGCAGCTACAGCAGGAACAGCCTGCTGTGTTCCTCCCCACAATTCGGGCCGAATATTTCCACATTCACCACCATGCTAACAGGGCTCAAATGGGTTCTAGGCCATCAGCCCCATTAGCCACAGGCTGGTAGTCGCATATAAGCCAACGGACATTCGGACATTCGAATGCCGAGCCGCTGAGCTTTTTATCTTCATAAAAACGCCGCCAGACAAAATACACACACATTCAGAGCCCTGGTAAAAGCGAAATTCATTGCAAAAATTCTCAAAAAATTGGCCAACGAAAAATTGAGTGAAAATTCAGGAGGGAAATAGGCGGACAATCCATCGAGGAGTACTAAATAAAGTTTGCACTGAAAAACTATTAGGGAGTCGGCACAGAAGCAAGAAAAAAAATCACTTAGACAAAAAATAACAACAGCCCAGCAAAAAGAACAAAAAGGATTCAATTATTCAGGGAAACGACTATGTGACACCCAGTTTTTGGGTTTCTGGTTAAAAATGTGCTGCATACCGAGAGGGGTATTTATTATTATTATTATTATTATTTGAAACAAAAGAAGCTTTCCATAAATCTGTCTTAAAATATTATGAATTTTGATCATTTTTGTGTCGAAAGGGTAATATTAATTATAGATTTTAGTTTATAATTTTTTAAGTTTTTTATCCTCTTTAAGTTTTAGTCAGAAGCTTACAAATCAGTGATGGAGTCATTTCCGACCCTATAAACCATATATATTCTTGATCAGCATCAACAGGCGAATCTTTCTAGTTTTGTTTGGAGGAAAAATAATTTTTTTAATTTTTTTCAAAATTTGATAAGGGGTGTTACATCATTAAAAATGTAAAAAATCAACAAAAATTTAAATTTTTTTAAATTGAAAATTTAGTATGCAGATTTATAAGCCTTTTAAAAACTAAGACAAAAAAGCTTTCCGAAATGAAATTGATGCATTTTTGGCCTAGTTATGAGCGATTTCAATCTGAAAGGGTATATAAATTTCGGCTTTTCGAAGTTAGTTTTATTTCGTGTTTTATATATTTATATCCTATTATTGTGCACTTTTAAAAACTTTTTCTAAATAGTTTTACTATGATTTAAAATTATTTTAAAATATTTAAACCAATTCCTTACCACTCATAAACCCCACATACCCTTCTTTTTAACCAAATACCTCCTATAGAACTTTTTCCACCCATAGATATTTGCAAATTCAAAGAGAGAGGCAATGAAATGGCAACCAACGACGACTGTTTGGGATTGGAGAAGTTCGAGGTGGCCTTTTGGGGGAGAAACAAGCCGAAACAGGAAATTAAAATCGAATCGTGTGTGTGCTTTGAATTGTGCATCTTCCATCTGAGCACGTGTATCCGACCAGCTACTATATATGTAGATATATATCTGTGCATTTAGGGGGGACAACCTCCAACTCCTTCCGATAAGTAGACGACGCCCCAGCAGAGCAAAAAGTGTTTAATTTGATAGGGCCCCGGGGATTCACAGAGGGGCAGTCAAAAAGTTTGCACCGTTACCTTGACTCGTAGAATTTATGTGCAAAGTTTTTCCGCGTCTGCTGCTGCTGCGTCTGTGTCTGTATGGGTGTGTGTGTGTGTGTGCGTGGCCAAATTATGCAATTTTAACGCATAAATTTCATGACTCGCGACCGGCGGCCATTGCAGGGAGGAAGCCCCAGTTTCGGTCCTGGCAACTTGGGTTACAGCTTCCCGCCAGCTTCCACTTCCTCGGCTTCGGATTCCCCCGGCAACTTTGGCCCGAAGTTCACACAAGTGCGACTGTCTAATTAAAGCGTCCAGCTGCCGGGACATCTTTCCTGCCCCAGTCTCAGGGTCCCCAACCCATGCTCATTTTCAGTGCCAGGGCCAGTGCAATTTAAATGCAGTTCCCACGAAATAGGAAAAACGCGTTTTATGGCCTCACAGAAGGGTAACTAGAATACCAGAAAAGGAATTATATATATCTGTAACGTTAGATATTTCTTTATAATTTAAGAGAATTTAATTTAATTTAATTTTAATATCTAGAAGAATTTATAGAAAATTAAAAAAAAAATTAATGACACTGGTTGCTCTTAAAATCCCTTCCTGATATAACATTTAAAAAATCCTTTTTCTCAAGTTGCCAATCTGCTCAGATATTCATATATCCCGGCAGTGCATTAATCAACTTGGAGTGTATTCCATCTTCGTCTCGCCGTGACTCCTGGGCAGCCGAGAGTTTGGTGCCGTTGCCCGCTCGTAAATATAAAAGTTGGCATCGCTCCCCGGAGACAAATCAGTTTGATTTTGATTGCATCTTTTACGGCCTTTGGCACCTTATAACTTTTTCCGCCTCACCTGGACGAAGCCACGTGAACCCTGAAGTGGCCACAAGGGGTGTTTGGGGAAGCTTGAGGTCAAGCTGGAGCCCCAGGCAAATGTTGGGTTGAGTTTCTATCATGGCTGACGCTTGTCTTAATCCAAAACATATGCACTGGGGAAAAATTAACCTATATATATACTTTTAGATATTAATTGAGCCTAGTTAACTTGTAAAAAGTAGCTTAAAAAATTAAGAAAAAGTGTTTAGTTTTTTAAAAATATAACTAAAATATTAATAAACAAATTAATATTGTATAAATGGTCAAAAAGTCCTATAATCCTTAAAAAAAATATATTTTTAAAATCAAGTTCTTCCAGTGCCCATTTATCCTTCCGCTCACCTGCAGTTTGGCATCATTGGGCCATGTCCTGTATGTGTTTCGTCATGTTTTGTCGCTCGTCCTGCGAACCCAACCCCCTTAGCCATTCGCCGTTTCGACCCGTTTTACTCGTACTTCCTGGGATAAGCTTGTAAAACTTTTCGCAAGCCAGCAGCAGGCGAAAGGAAGCGATGGAAAAAAACTTGACTTTGTTTATTTGTTGTTTCGCTTTTTCTGGCTTTGTTTGCCGGAAGTTTTATGCGTGAGCCGAAAGGTGACCAAAAGGCAAGGAGAACATGGTGCTCTTTAATAAATCTCCTCCGGGGAAGCACCAAAAAAGCGGAGGAAATATTTAAGCAGAGGGAAAACCTCGGTGTGCCATGGCAGCCGGGAAAAAATGTCACACACAAAATGCTTTTACAATTGAAATGTCAATAATGTTTTATGACATTGCAGCGCAACGGAACCGGCCGAAGGACTAAGGACGAAGGAAAATAAAGAGAAGGGGGTCCTTCCTTCCCTCTGTCTCTCCCGGAAAATATTTTCATTTGCCTGACAAAATTGACATGCAACAGCAATCAAAAGCGAAGGCTTAGGGCGGGCAACCAGGAAAGGGGGTTGGCGGTGCCATTTTGCGGGGGTGCCAACAAAACAGGACAACATTTTGTGGCCTGTCTTGCGGTGTTTGCCCGAAATTGGCCAGAAACGGGTCTCGCAAAAAGTACAAACGAAAAAGGGACTGAGGAAATCCAATTCAAAATGCCATCAGACATTCTAATTTCATTCATTTTTCAATACAATTCCAAGGTCCGAGCCACTCACTTCCTTGTGGCCGCATAAATTGTGATTTCGATAAAGGACCAAAACACGGAAACAACTGTGACTAGAACAGTGACTGTGACAGGTTTGGGGACTTCCTCCATGACTCCCAGTGTTGGTTTACCTACACTCGATCTGGACAAATTGAGTTGCCTGATTTTCCTCAATTTTAACAGCTGAAGGAAGGGTTATCTGTCTTGATTATAGAAATCAATTTTTTGTATGCATTCTGGAAGTATTATTTTTCAGAAGATAACAACACTTTCTAGGATAAAGCAGAAATAATTACATGCTTCCTATATTACTATTTTAAGTAAAAAGTACCCCCCTAATATTATCTTAGAAAATCCCAGCTCATAAATATTTAAAGAATTATCCCAGACTCTCCTGCAAACTCTCCCTTGGCTGAAGGTCATTAATTGAACTCGAAACTGGGACTTGGGGGCGAATAGAAATTAGCCATTCCGCATTGTTTAATAGCAAGGGCAAAATTCAATTGTAAGTGTAGGGTTCGCCGCAAAAGGATAATTAGCATCATAAAGCACCATGGCAGTGCTCTTATGTAAACTAATTAAATCTGCAGCAGCAGCGATAACAATTGTGCTAAGCCTCGATGGCAGGGCTTCGTGCAGAATGCAATCACAAATTAATTGTGACAATAATTGCTTTATAAATAACAGTAAGCCCACGTTCAACTATAGTTACCTTGTTCCGTGCAAGTGTATATGTTTATTAATACTTGTGGGTGTAAGTGTGTGCAGGTGCACAAGTGAGTGTGTGTGTGAGTGGAATTTATGAGCGTCAACCATTGAAACGTTCTGCGGCAGATTACTTAATAAGCAAGACAAGTTGATTTAAAGCCGCAACTCAAGTTGACGGCATAGGCACTGAAGGAATTTGTTTTCTAAAAAATTTTTGAAAATTTCTGACTGATTGTATATAAATATTAACAATTTAAAACCCTTAATTGGGACTCAAGAACCTTGGAGTTTATGTTTAAATCATAATTAACTTAAATAAGAGAAATCAAATTCCATAAGCTATGTATAAAATTATGCTATTCAACATAATTTCGTTCAGTGCATTAATGAGTTGGAGAGAGGCCAGGCAGCTGAGCTAAACGCTTGCCTAATGAGGCCAACGGGGCGTATGATTGATTTAGGTAACTGTTAGTGGGGGCTGGTTGAAATCCGCTTGGGGCGCGGATTTCGATTTGCATAATTCATAATTTAATTGATTCGCACTCAAAAGATGCGTCCCGACTTTAAATTGAACCCGAAATAAGCTGGAAATAGAGCATTATAAGGAATTGCGAAATTAAGGCTTATAAACTCACTACTCACCAGCCATAATCACTGCTAACATTCCTAAAATATAAAGAAACCCCTTGAGCCAGGCCTTGGGAGTGAGTAACTTTTTCTGGCACTTGGATTTTTTCTTGGCCAGATCATCGGTTTGCAAGTGCACCGTTATAGGTTCTTCTTCGAATTGCAGTATTTTCCCAGGATCCAACTTGATCAGAACATCGGTAGAGTTCCAGTCCACCTCCTCTGTATGTGCGATCATAGCCAGTGGAATGCTCCTCACAACCAGAGAGCACTCAGGAATATCCTCCTTAACCGGCTTTAGTGTTACAGTTACTTCGGTGGTATCGTAAGACTTCACCCTGCCTCGCATTGGAGTCACACTGTAGACGGTGTCCTTGTCGATTTGGATGCGATAGATCACATCCTCGCCACTGGCATTGATCATCGTTATCATTCGCTTTTGGAAGTGCGCGATGGGAGCCTGGAAGCTCAGGCTTAAGGGAGAAACAATTAACTGATCGCCAGACATTTCAAGGAATTTACAAATAAAATATTCAGATTAAAATTGATTTTTTATGCGATCGCTACGAAGTTGTAACTTGGGAGATTCAAGAAACCAATTTAATTAATGAAATATTTTTCAAAGCTGCCTATAATTGTATCTACATAAATAATATTATGATGGAATTGTGTGTAATAAGGACTTTAAGAGGTTATCTAATATTAAATAAACTCACCAATAAATCTTTATAAAATTAAAGAAATCAATTATACATATTCTTAACCTAATTAAATAAAGAAGCATAACTCAGTGACCTAACCCACACAAGCCCTGACACAATTACGTAAGATTTAAGGGGCTCACTTTACGATATTCCCTGGTCCTGGTCCCTGGTCTTATCCTGATCCACTTGAGTTGTCCTGGGGGAAGGAAGAAAGATTCGGCGAGTCGCCGCTCATTATGTAAATTGTATTCCTTGTGTATTTGCCACATCGATAACATTATTAGCAACAAATGTCCACAGCCTTGGCTGCTGACCAATTTTGTCAGCTTTGCCAATTTGCGCCGACCCTCGTCTTTACTTTTTTCCCTCCAATATTCCTTTTTTTTTCTCTCTCTCTCTCAATGGGCTGCCTTGGGTTTTTGGAGTGCGTCCGCTGTCAACGGCATTTGTTGGAAGCTTCCCCTCCACGATTTCGTCCTTTTTTTTGTCGCCCAGCATCCCATTCAGACTCGTGAAGCAGCCTGCATTGTTGACAGCCAGCAGCCCAGCGACAAGTTTTCTTTTCGCTTCGGTTTCATCGGACAAAACGGTGCGTAGTTGAGCGCAGCTGCTTCAAAATATAATAAATAAATAAACATAATTTATAAGTAGCAGATTTTTTACGTCTGTGTTGGCAGAAATGCTTAAGGACTCCCACTTCCACACGCAGACAAGGATCTCGCCGGCACTCGTATTTATTTCATTTTTATCCCGGCAGATGAATGCGCTGCTGCCATGTTGTGGGTATTTTTGCCGAGACAAAACGCGATGAGATTAAGCATCTTTTTTTTGTCTTTCGGAGAACTCGGCTTTGTTGTGTTTTTTATTTTTTCCCTGTGTGCGTGTTTGTCGTCAAGTGCATTGCGTGTCCTTACGTAAGCATGACGTTGATGATTCAATTCAGGATTAAGGTAAGCAAGGTTTTTGCTACGTTCTAAATCTGCCTCTAATTCTGTGATTTCTGTGTAAGTAACGCCATGTGAAAGTGATACATAACAACCCTGTAATGAGTTGCAGAAATAAAAAGGATTTTATTTAATAATTTAGCAGGATTAAAGTGAAATTTAAAGGAAGAAATAGGAAGAATATTCGTCTTGGATTTCTTTAAATATTTATTATATTATTATTTTTATTCAACACTCTTTAATATTTTATCTGAGGCAAAAAAAGTAAGAGGATTTTCACTTTTAGCAATCTCCTGCCATTCACACTCTTCCACTTAACGTAACGTAATGCCACGCAACACTTTGCGTTACGTTGACCCTTCTTTGTTGTGGTTCGCGTACCCTTCGACACTCCACTGCCGCGCCCCACTCACCCACTTGACCCACACTGCCACCATATTGCACTTTAGATTGTCAAAACCACAGCGGCCCCCATTTTTTTTTCCAAACCAAAATGAAGAACAAAGAATTTGTAGAAGGCCCGGCTAACCGGAAGTCGAAAACACAAACGTTCTAAAAGCCGCACTCAGCAACAGCGCGGGATATATAATAATACGTATATATATATGTATATATGTAAGTAGGATATATGTGGGTGTGACGCACAAGTCCGGGACACACCCACACACTCGACTCGAGCCGAGGGAGCACATTCAAATGGTTCCATATTTCTTGACAATTTAGGACACCATTAGCGAGAAATTATTACTGTGCAGCCAGTAAGTGGAGTGCGAGGAGTCAGCAGTCGCGGGGCGGAGAGGAGAATTTTCCTACGGATACGGGGTACTTCCATTGGGTTTTTCATGGGGCAGAAAGTAAGAAGAAAAAAAAAATGGGAGGCGACAATAGGCGAGGGCGTCGTCGTCCGATTTTTGGCATTGCCAGTTCGGTGACAAGCCCCGCAGCAGCCATGAAAATGCTTAGGGGAAAATCGAAGAAAACTCGGCATTGGTACCGTGGTTAAGTCTAAGCTGGGGAAAATCGCTTGGTTATTAGCTGAATTACCAGGAAAATTATTCCCAGTGGCATTTAAAATAATATCAATCATACGCACTGTGGCCCTGGCATTAACTGTTGTATTTAGCCTTTAATTTATAATTAAATATAATTTAATAAATTATTAAAAGTAATTAAATGAACTCTTAAAGTTTTCTTTAAGATTCACCTAAGAAGAACTTACACCGTAATGTTGAAGCTCTATATTAATCATACGCACTGTTAACAGCTGCTAAATGTTAATGTATTTTAAATTCAAAAATTTTAGCTATTTCTGTATTTATTTTAGTTGGTTTCTTATAAGTTACTAATTTTTTCCCAATTAAATTCTAAAAACCACTGTACATTGGTTGCTGTTTCGCCCTTTTTTTTCTGTATTTTGGGGAAAAACGCGGAAAACTTATGTGGGTGTTTAAGTGAACCATTAGCGCCGCGCGTCATTAAGTTGTTTCCGCTTTGCACACTTCTCCCACTGTTTTCCATTTCGGGAAAAGGGATTCGGAGTCCCAAGTCTCGGGCCGAAGTCTAGGCCCAGACATTCCGTTCGAGCGGAATGGGCCACGTTCTCGAGAACGTGAAGTATCGGGGCCTGTGGGCCACATCATTAATGGTTATGGACCCAGACCCGCACCAGACACGAAACACCCAAGGCGGGTTGCCTTTTTTTTCGTGGCCGCTGCGGTTCATTGACCAGCCAAGGGGCGCGTTGATTTATGCCCAGTATCTGGGTATCCTTCTTAGTTATCCTGCTACCCAAGTAGGCTCAACATGTTTTCCGCACGCTTTCCATTTTTTTTCTTCCAACGCAATTAGATGAAGGACTGGGCAAGTCAAGACCACACGCCAAACCAGTGTCAAGAGCGAAATTCAATTAAACGCAAATCGGTGCAAAAATCACACGAAACGTCGCTGCAATGTTGTTAGCCCGGCCAACAGCACTCGAGAGCCGCCGGCAAACAGACACCGACACCCAACCAGGAGAGCTGTTGGCCAGCAACTCAACGGGCCATCAATGCCAGGTCGTCCTTTGCCAGGACTACCGCATATTGCAGTCCAGTTCGGTGCCGTTTAGTTGGGGTCAGTACAGTTCAGCCAAGGGCAGTCAGTAGCAGCATACTGCAGGCACTTAAACGCCAAGTCCTGTAAACACATGCACTGCAAAAAAAATATAGAGCTAATAAAAAAACAAATAAATATATATATAGGGAATAATATTCCATAAGGATACTCCTTTTAAGTTACAAGATTGTTTTCCATATTTTTACAATTGAAAATCAAGTATTCCTTTATAATTTCTTCCAGTGCACCCACCTGAAACGCAGCAGCAGTAGGACAATGTGGTGTGCGTGCAGCAGGATAATGGCAAATAAAACCCAACGGGCACAGTGGCAATCGAAGCAGCTTGGCTCCTGCTAGGATCGGGTTTGGGATCAGGCGCCTGAAACTGCCTGACGACCCGACAGCCATTACGGGTTAAATGGATTTGATGAGCGTTTATGTGCAGTGGCGGCGATTGCATGTTCTAATTATGACAAAGCTCCGGACGGGCCACCCACGCATCCCTTGCCACTCCTCCTCCTCCTCCTCCCCTTGGCACCCTGTTTGGCCCTTTGGCTTTGTCTTGCGCCCCTGCATGTCAGGTATTCCGTTATGCGAGTGCCAGTTGCACCTTACGTTACGCAAGCAGCGTGTTATGTAAATGTTTGCGTTTATCGCCGTTCAACGAGCTAAGCGGAAATTAAATTTAATATTAGTGGTGCTGTAAGTGAAGTTGCAACTACAAGCCATAGGGGGAAAGTATTTATTAATAAGAGTGAACGACTGGAAAATGTTTTATAATTACTTCCTTTCATTGGGGCTAACATTGTCTTGGGGGAATTGTTATTAAATAAATTATTACATTCATTTAATTATATATTAAACTAAAAAATGTTTTCAAATACATTAATAGAAAAGTTCTAGAATAGAAAAATATATTTTTCAGCTTGAATATTCTTTATAATTTGTTAGAAAAAGACTAAAAAAAATATACACACTTCCCAGATAATAAACAAATTTACAAAGAATTTTTCTTAAGTTTATTTTAGCTTTTAAATACTCTTCAGTGGTTTAAAAACGGTTGTGCAAATTACAAACTAAATTAAGGACATTCTCAAGTGTTTTTAACTAACTTAAAAACTAGAACACCTTCGATCCCATTACAATTTTTCCACACACACTCTTCAATAACCACAATCCAATACAAAAATCCCAAAGGATTGCCTTCCTACATATATCCCGTATACCTATTATTATTGTTACCTTGGCCCGTATTTCTCGGCTCCACCTTGCCAATTGGCTTATCAGACAACCGCCTTTGGGTCACGCCCCGTGCAAACCGAATTTGCATGTTTATTGTGCGGTGGCTTTATGGCTGTAATAGCAATAATTAAGGCTTATTTACAAGCTCACAATGCCCGGGCTCCAACGATGGCGACAACAATTAGAGCGCCCTCGCCATGAGGGGATAACGAGGAGGAGGGAACTGCAGGACACAACACAAGGACACAGCACAGGTGGCGGCATCTGGCTAACAGAAGCTTCCTGTGTGTCCTGGGCAAGTGTGTGGTCATTTGACGGCTCATATTGGTAATTATTTGCACATTGGGACAAGGATAACACACGAAGCAGGACGAGGTGTTCAGGGACAGTCGAACGCTTTGATTAGCCCCTTTTGAACCAATACCAATACCTCAGCCGCCCACCGAGGCACCTGAAAGCAACACAATCAACGGCAGCCAGGGAAACAGGAACTGCATGCCAATGCATAGCAATGCACTCGATTGAAGCACGGGAAAAAAAATTTTAAAAATTAATGGAAGGAATATTTGAAGAGTTTTTAATACAAATATAAATCAAAAATA